AAAGGTCACATTCCCCAGCTTTGTGTGCAGCCGGGAGTGGCCACGCATTTACCTTTTGGACAACAGGCGGCAAGCAAGAATGTCATTTGCAACGTAAGGAAATATCCTTAAAGGAGAGGGCCTACTTAATCCCCTTCTCTTTTCTCCTTGAAGTTGTCTGGAAGACAGACAAAGAGACTAGAGCTCTAGATACCATCTTAGACAAGGCCACTGAAGTCCATTTCCTAGGGGTGACACAACAGAAAGTGGGAAGGAGCCTGGGTCACTAATGAATTATCTAATTACTATACCAGCTTCGGATTTTGGATCTCTGGAACTCTGTGTGTTTAATAGAACTGGGTGTATTTAAGGTACTGTTAATTTGTGTTTTTGTCACATACGGGTGAATTCAATTCTAGCCACATGTGGCTAGTAGAAAGTTATAGTTGAATTAAATGACCAGCTCATGAATGATTGCAAATCCATAAAAGTATAACTCAAATTCACTAAGACAATTTTTGTAGTTAATATCTGTAATACACAGCCTAAATCTCTCAGCAAGGGGATCTCTGACTCTGATGATCTACACTAGAGACAGGCACAGTTCAACAGAACTTTCTGCAGTGATGGAATGTTCTGTATTTGGGTTATCTCTATGGAAGCCACTAGTCAAAAATGACTATGGAGCTCTTGAAATGGTGCTTTTGTGACTGAGAAACAGAATTTTAAATTTTTTTTATTTGTAATTAATTTAAACTTGAGTAACTACACATGGCTTATGGCTACTTAATTGAACAGAAAAGCTCTCAGAGTTTGACGCATACTCAACACATCCACAGTTTTCCTGGATTTGAGCTACACGTTAAACCAAAAGACTGGATCCCGAAAATGATCAATGTGTTGGTGAAGCCTGTTACAGCTAATTGAAGCTACTGCTTAGAAAAGTAGAGTGAGCATCAAAGGGAGCTTAAAACATCCCTTACCCCTACAATAAGAATGCTCAGCGGGGAGTCTGCTTCTCCCTCTGACCCTCCCCCCTCTCGTGCTCTCTCTCTCTCTCCCTCTCATTCTCTCTCTCAAATAAATAAATAAATAAAATCTTTAAAAAAAAAAAGAATATGCCCCAATACATTTAAATGCATCACACTACATGGTGGAATCTTTAAAACATGAAAGGTTGAAATACAGATTTGTTTCTTTTGGTAGCAGCCCTGAGAAACCATAGGTGGTGGGGGGTAGATTTGTCCCTCCCCCACTCCCCCAAAGTTGACCCTTGACCTTGTGCTATTGTCTCAGTGACTCCACTGATTTCCAGGCTTATTCCCTCATTTCTGGTGAATAAGGTCTCTTTCCTGTTACCAGGTGTTCACTGAGATTACCCGGCTCTGCCTACAGGTGGCACAGTGTGAGCATGGCTCTTTATTCTGGAGCTCTTTCATTCCAGTCTCTTTCCATTCTTTGTAAAACTGTAAATGGCTAAAACAAATACTCTTTGCTGGTGGCTTCACTGTCACGTGTTCTATCAACAGCCCTCACAGGCAGGGCTGTTATTAGCAAGATTGACCCTGCTTTTTTTCTAACTCTGCACTACAAGATTTCTAACAGCTGGTAATGGGAAGCCGGGTGTTTTGGTGTTTGCATGTGTATCAGGGAACCTGCCTTTAAAGAGGGCTTTCAGATTTAGAAAACAATGCTAAAATTCCAAAAAAGTCCAAGATCTTCATTAAGAGACCACACCCATATCAGTTGTCTCCCCTTGTCTGTGGAGGATATATTTCCACATCCACAGCGGATGCCAGAAACCACAGATAGTACCGAACCCTATAGATACATTTTTTTTTTCTATATACACCATATCTATGATAAAGTTTCATTTATAAATTAGGCACAGTGAGAGATTAACAACAATAATAAAATAGAACAATGATCATGATTATAATTATAATAAAAGGTGAATGTGCTCTCTCTCTCTCTCAAACTATCTTATGGTCCTGTACTCACCCTTCTTGTGATGATATGAGAGGATAAAAGACCTACATGATGAGACGGAGCGAGGTGAGTGACGTGTCAGCATTGTGACGTGGCGTTAGGCTACTGCTAACTGTCTAATGATTAGTCAGGAGAATCATCTGCTTCTCGACCGTGGTTGATCCTGGGTAGCTGAAACCTCAGAAAGCAGAAGTACGGATGAGAGGGGACTACTGTGTGTGTCCACACATACATACACACACACAGAGTTTGTGTTGGATGTCTTAATGTTCTAAGCAAATGGATTTTCTGGCTTATTAATTATTCAGTGGAGGGGTCTCCCTGACTTTTTGCTTGGATTCTAGAGATTAATGCCAGACAGAGAATGGGGAAGTGTATGAGTGGCTCTTGCTACTTTCTAAAAGCAAAAAAAAAATATATGCATTGATCTTTTCTCTTATGCATATCTTTTCCCATCCAATCCAAGGATTGACTGTACAGCTGAGGGCAGGTTGTCTTTGTGACTGCAGGTGAGGTACCACTGGAAAATTTCTCTTCCTTATGTGGGCTCTGAGGGTTTTGTTGCCATCCAGATTTAGATGTGTGGCTCAACACATCACTTTCTAGGTGTGTGACTTTTGGCAATTGTTTAACTTCTTGGTTTACTCATCTTCAGAATGTGGGTAATAATAGCTCCTGCAGCATAGGGTCATTATGTGATTTAAGTGTGATAATGTAATTTAATGTGGTTAGTATTTTCTGTGCAACATTGGAAGTGTTCAGTAAAGATACAGGTATTATTAGTATACTGTTTCAAATTAGTGAACAAATATATTGTCATTCTTTTTACTGAAAAGCATTAGAGTGCCCACTTACACATATTCTATTCTAATCATGCATAGTTACTGATGTAGACCCATAAAAATAAAAAATATGTAATATGAGCTACATTTATATGTACTGTAATTCAAGTCAGGTTTTTGTTGAGGTGGGAAATGTTGGGGCATGCTCAATTAGAAAATCACTTCACAGAAGAAAGTCGAGGCTGAAGTGTCAAAGAGGAATTCATGATTTTGAACGAAGACAAACCAGGTCAAATGCATTGTTAAGTACTAAGAATGTGCAATAATTCATTTCCCCTGGAATATTAAATAAAATCCAGCTTAACTGAATAAGGACATGCAAAAATCTGAAATCATCCACCTAAATAGGGTGAGAGAAAAACTTGCCCAGAAAAGGAATTAGTGTCACACTGGGCCCTGGAAAGCAGGGGACAGTGGAGGTAGAACTCTCAACTGCACAAAGTGTCAGAGTAGGTTGAGGGACAGTCTGGCTGTAGAATGAGTAAAAGGAACTGAAGATCAAGAAATCTAGCACAGGAAGATCCCAAATAAATATTGGTTAAATGAAAAAGTTTTGGTTGCTTACTACTAGATTAATATTAATCAAAACTACCATGCCCCTCCCAAACAATGGCTTAAATAAGGTAAAAACTTATTCTTTCTCTCATGTAAATGAAGTCTTGAGGTAGAGAATTCATGGATACTTCAGTGGCTCCTCGAAGTTAGAGATCCAGTTTCTTTCCAGCTTACTCTCTACCATCCCTAAGAAGTGGCCTTTGTCCTTATGGTCCAAGATGGTGGCTAGAATGCTAGTCCTCATAACCATGTTCCAGATGGCAAGATGGAGGAAAGGGAGAAGAAGCACCAGAAATTTCCTTTAATTTTCCTTTATCTGTCACATAAGAGTTGTGCTTACATCTTACTGGTTGGAACTTAGGCACATGTCCACACTTAGCTCTAAGGGAGGCTAGGCAGTGAGATCTTTAATTCTGTCAAGCACAATCTGGAGTTCCGTTATTAGAGAAAAGGAAGAGAATGAATATTAGACCTGGCAACTAGCAATCTGTACCAGTATCCATTCACTTTCATCCTATGTCCTAACAGAACCTAGATTTTCGTTTAGAAAATTACCTCTCCTCCATGGTGTGTTGTATAGCCGACTTGAAGTTTGGGCAAGATTAACTTTGCTTCAAGCTCCACAGGCAGATCCTGATTGATTAATGGTAGAGAAATATGACACCCCTGCTCTTTCCAAGCACTTGTGTTAACTTTCTACCTCCAGAAGAAGACAAATCAGCTAATTGTCTGACAAAGGAATGAATTCCACTGTCAAGGCAGTGAAATATGCATATTATAACATTATGTTTATTAAATTCATGTTTATATAATATATGCATATAATATGCAATGCATATATTATATCTCAACATTATATCCTTGACATTACTGTTTAGTAGAATATGATATATATTATAGGCTTGGGACCAATGCGTACTGTTCCCCTTTTCTCTCTTTTCCAAATGGGATTTTTAAAAATTGCAGTTGTCTTGTTTTCTCAACACCCTTGTATATCAAGTATATTGATGGAGGTTACTTCAACACTTAGCAATGCATCACTGGGCCATGAGGGGTTAATGCAAGATTTGTCAGAGTAGTCTGACTATTAGCCATTCTTAGGCTTGGAGCTGGATGTAGTAATTACACGAGGCATTGTGTTGTATCCCATTGGGTGAGTTCATTTTGCACATGTGTGGACAATTTTGAAAGTACAGGTATGGGAAGGTGAATATGCATGAATTTGGGTGGCCAAAGGTGTGGACTTCAGAGGACATTCATTGGTTGCTTACTTAGCACTCATCACCCTTTCTTCTCCTTCCTAGTACTCTCCAGATTTTCATTTGAGGAACTACCTCTCCACCACTGTGTTGCAGCAATACAGAATGGGGTGGGTTGTTTTGGCACGGTTCAGATAATCCTACCCCCCCCCCACATTTGGCATAGTGATAGGATCAGGTAACCCAGACCCTGAGCCATTCAGTGTAGTTGTCAGTTCCCTAGCCTTAAGGTAGAACAAGGGGTGGTCTAATAAGCACAAAGCTCATAATTCTCACATAATGATTTTGACATTGAGTTAAAACCCCCATCTCTCTTTCTCTTTCTTCCTCTCTCCTGCCGCCTCTTCTCACCATGTCCTGGATATAAACACGGAAGCTGAAGACCGAATTGCTACTGACAGCTGTCTTTCAACTAGGAAAGGAGTCAGTCGAAGAAACAATCTGACCTACAGAGGAGAATAAATCTGAGAGAAGCAGAGCTAGAATCCTGATCGAACCATACCTGAAGCTTACATTACTGCTGGCCTTTTCACTTAGTCAAACAATAAATCCTTTTTATTGTTGGTTAATTTGACATTGTTAATCTGATATCTGCAGCCTAAACTGATACAGGAATGGAGGAAGAAATGGATGAATTATTACACAGAAGCCTGAGGTCAGGTTGAAATCAGGGACTCAAACCAGATATGAGGTCCAGGATACAGAAACAGTCCCAGTGCTCCTTGAATAAGAAGCTATACTTCAAACAAGAGTCCTTTATGTAACAGAATCAAAAGATAGTCTTCCCAGACCTTGGTTGACAAAAGCCCAAAAGTTCAGTGTAGTTGTGTCACAAACTACTGAGTGGACCAGTGCAGAGCAGATTTTCCTAGGAAAGTCTGCCATTTAGGCTTATTTTCATGCTAGGGAGGCCTGGCTACTATTCAAAAACCTTCATAGAAGGTGCTAAGAGAACAAAGAAACAGTAAAAGGAGAAATAATCAATCAAGAATCAGTTATCCTCAGAAAAGAAGTAGCAAAATATTATGGCTAAGAGCATGGACTTGGTGGTCAGACCTGGGGTTTTAGTTGCTGACTAGCAGGTTAGCTAACACACCAAGCTTGTTTTTTTCATTTATAAAACGAGAGTAAAATACTATCAACCTCTTTGAAGGTTGTTGCAAATATTAAAGGTGATATCTTATGTGAAGCCTGGGACATAGAAAAATTCCATTAGTGACAAACAGTTCTTATTTGTTATTCATAGAAGTAGGCTTGTACATATTGGTAGGACTTTTGACAGTCTGGGCAGGCTGCAAGATTTTGTGACATTAGCAGTAAGGCTGTTCTGATGTTTAATGATCACGGCATTGCTGACCTTTGGGATTCTCTTGGTAATTTTTATACACTCTTGCCAACTTTTGGGCAGGAGAGAAGCCATCATTAGAATAGCTCTTAATTTCCACTCGACCCCAGAGTTACAATAGTTACTCTACTGGAGTCACACTTGAGTTTTCTGGGAAGCAGATGGGAGCCAGTACTGAAATCACAGTGCCTGACACATAGTAGCCTCTCTATAAGTGCTATCTGAAGTTTGGGCCAGCAAGTGGATTGTTTTCCCTCAGATGTGATGATTAAAGTGTACTTGGGGAAGGGCCCTGAAAGATATAAATTCACCAGATTTTCTTATTGTTTCTACATTTTAAGATCTTTAGGCATGAGTTCATTTATGGTCTGGAATGGAGTCTAAACTTCCTGTGGAAAAGATAAAATAAGTTGGCTAGAGCCCACCTCATCTAGAAATGGTTCTGCTCATGAACTGATCTGGAAGTTTCTCAGAGCTCCAGCCATAAGGAGGGCCAAGGATTAGTGGAAAGTTTTGCATTGTTGTTAGCTCACTCTGAGGCCTAAGGCAAGCCATTTAACCTCTTGGTGTCTGGATTTCCTCATCTGAGAGCCAGGGATAATAATACTTCCCTACCTCACAGGTGTGTTGGGGGCATTAATTAATGTTTGTCTAGTGCTCAGGGATCTGTGATGAAAGGCAAGCATCATTATTGTTGGTTTGCTGCAGGCAAGACTAGATTATAGTCCTCCAGATGGGTTGCATATGGGAAGTGGTTTTAGCAAAAGATTTTCCCAAATGAAATGCAGGCTTTAAGTTTTGGGGCCACTTCAAAAGACAAGGTGCCAGTGGGACTTCATCCTCTCCTTCTTGCCTGAGTTGGCTCAGGTTTTACTACTGTGTGGAGTTACAAATCAGCCTCCCAGAGCTATAAATTAATTTATTTGACAAGTGACATTTAGGTTGTTTCAGTGGTCTCTGCTCAGCATAGATTGTCCAAGATTTGATGAAGTGGGTAAGGTTACTGTTGCAGAAAACTCTTAATTCCTTGAGGAGAGTGCGTATTGTGTGGTGGCCATTTAGTGCGTCTATCCCATGATAAGCGGGAGAGACAAAACCATTGTGTTTTAACAGCCCCAAGTGGACAAGTCAATTAGGCCAGAGGTTTCAATCCTTTCATTTTGTTTTAGCTTCCTCCTCGCCACCCCCTTCTCTTTTAAAAAATAGCCTTCCACACTAAAGAGCATTGGTATGTTCTTGAAAGCTTTTGAAGAGGACCACTTTGAGAAAGGACTTCTGGGCAAACAGACAACAGAATGTCTGGGCACGTTAATGCCGAGGAAGAAGGGAAAAAAAAAATCTCTTCTTGGGGGACTAGAGAAATTTTTGTTTTCCAAAAATTGGAAAAATTGATTCAATGAGTCCATTTGTCCAATTAAAGGGCAAAGATAACATTTCTTTTCCCATGAGCAGAAGTCTATTTTCTCTTATAAATACAAAAGAAAGCAAAATAGAATATTTTACTAATATTGTCAACCCAGGTAATAGGAAAACAAATAGAATCTCATTGTTTGTTAATGCACGCTGCTGAGAATCTCCTGGAACAAAAATTCTAAGGCAGAAATGCAAGTGATGATAGTGCTATTAACGCATTTGATTCAGTTACAAAGCAAGTGGTACATTCATTCAGCAAATATTTATTGAGTGTATCCTAAGTGTTGGGCACTATTCTAGACCCTGAGAAATGACTGATAAGCAACACAGATAGGGCCCCTACTCTCGTGGAGCTTACATTTTGGTGTAGAAGACAGGAATACACACACAAAATTGCAAATGCAGAGAACTAAAGTGAGGTGATGGGATAGAAAGTTTGGTGGTGATTTAGTTTGGTTGGCTAGAAAGCCCTCGCTGGGGGTGGGGGTTGGGGGTATGTGTGCGTTGCGGGGGTGGGGGGGTGGGGTGGATTTCAGCTGGGAGGCCCCACAGTGGGAGCAAGGTATTAACTTAGTCTTAGAAAGTGACTTTATTGTAATGACGTAGCCTTCAGTACGTATGGGATGCAGCTTGGGATTCTAGCATATCCCTCCAAGGTGGGATCCCATTGTTTCTTCCCTAATGTAGATTCCTCCATCATCTACTGCATATAAAGGAAAGTGGATCGTGTTTGGAATCCTCAAATTAGTATTGTTGGCTGTTGTTCTGGAAAGGATGGAAGACCAAATCAGGAGACCTGGTTGATCCTGGTTCTTCCAATACCTTGCTGGGTTAATCATATAGTCTCTTTATACCTTGCTTGATTCCTTCCTTAAAAAAAAAAAAAAGTGTTGGTGAGGTTCTTTTCAGCTCTGTTTCCAGGAACAATATAGAAGCAGGATTCAATTATTGTAAACCCTTGGTTTTCAGAAATCTATGAAGATGACAAAAGAAAGCATCAAAAATTTGAAAAAGGCTTGTTATATCAGTAGCTCAAAAATGTAATAATTAGGCAGACAGCTGGATGCAAAAGTTAGCTATTATGCATATTTTTGTAATGAGTCTTTTTCGGTCCTTATTGCTTTTTTTAGAAAATGGGAATCTATTAAAGCCTGGACTAAAGAGTTTTCAAAACATTAGAAAAGTAAATAATCATTACTGCTATAATGTTTGCGGTTTTGTTACATTCAAATTATTCCTGTTTTCCTAAACTGACAGGAATGAATAAATGTGAAATGTCTTAGCATTTTACGTCTTATGTCTTTATGTCTTAGCATTTACGCTAAGAATTCCACTTGCAACAAAAATTAGACTGTTACAAATAAATTCAACAAGTAAGTTTAGAAGGAATAGTCGATACTCTAAAATCTCAAATTCTGCAAAAATTAAGAATTTTCTTCAAAAATAATATCCCAACAAATTTTATGGGCAAGTGAAATTATGCATCACTTTTTTTCCCTATAAACGAATAAAAGGACACTAACAATATTGACTTCTATGGTGCTCAACACTTTGCAAAAAGTTTCATGTTTCTTACTTCATTTGAACCTCATAACTTCTTTGAAAGTAAATTGTACAGAATTTATCATTCCCATTTCACATATGAGGAAAAAGAGACATAGGACTTGGGACCTCCCTGGATTTACATAGCTAGTATTTTAAGCTAGAATCCGGGATCCTGAATCTTGTCTAGTGCTTCAATCACCCCCAGACCGGGTATACCCATAACCTGAGTTTCTATTCTGTGCTTCACTGTTTTGTTTTTTTTTTGGTTTGTTTTTAATGCAGGACCCCAAGGTACTTCTGAAAATTTCTAGAAGACTGTGGCACTGTTGTGTGACACACGAGCTTATGGACAAGTTCAGGCAGCTTTGGTGAATGTGCCAGTCTTGGACCTTCCTCTGCTGTGATCCTGCTCCTGAAGGGTCCTCCTTACCTGTCAGGCACAGCTATCACTTTTGTCGGGCCGCTCTCACCTATTGCTATGGTGACATCTGAGTTGTGTTGGGGTGTTTTCTTTGTTTTCGACAAAATCTGGGCAGTACCGTACATTTCATTCTTTCTTTAACATATCGTGGTGATGCAAAACCAAGACAAAATCCTCTAAAAACAACAACAACAACACTATTTTTATGGAGTACAAAATTTTTAAAATTGGATGTTAAGGGTCTGATTATTTTTTGCCTCACTAACATCCATCAGTAAACACTGTGTTCAGCATGATAAGGAACAAAGGATGTAAGATGCTGTGCCCCTCTCCAGGCCTTGTGTTCTTACTGAGCACACAAGATATTAAGCCTTTCAATTAGAATATAATCGAATGATTATGTGAAATAGTTCACAGTATCATGTTGAGACACTGCCGTAAGATCTGCTAAATACATCTGCAGGTCAAAGAGACTGAGGGAGGCAAATAATCCACTTGAAGCTATGGAGAAAAGATGGAAGCAACACAAGGGAATAAAAGAGTTGAGTTTAGAGAGAAGAACCAGGCATAATTTTGTTCAAAATTTCACTCTTTATTAGCAATAAATTAAAATAAGGTGGTGTTTTCTGATGACTCATAAGATAGATGTTGCATGAAAGGGTACTGGAATCAACAGACACAAATAAGAAGGCCAAACATGGAAAAATGATCATAGGTAGACCATTTGTTCCACTTGCCTTTTATCTTTTACACCTGTGTTTGAATTCATCCAAACTTGCATAAATCCTTT